CAATCAAAATCTATCTGACATGATAAGAAAATCCACCCAAAACCACAAATCATTTAAAAGTCACACCTCGTTATCATATTTTCTACTTAGTGAACCTTGAGATCTTTAAAACTTTCTATTTTTCAAAATTCTTCCAAGCTTTCGAAGATTAATTTCCTTCTAATAATTGTAATTCCTGACATGACTATTGATCAGACGCATAATCAAATCTGTTATATGATAATAATATTTACAAGTTATGTTCTTATGAATAGTTATCATGATTTTATGTTTGACATCAACATTAAACGTTAATATATTAATGATCGTGCATTACTAGAGAAGAAGACTTTTTCTTTTTCTAGAATCTTATTTTTACAACCTATCCATCTAAATTAAAAAGAGTGAACTGCTCACAATCATCCTAACCTACATTTTACCGTCAATAAGCTTAAAAGACTATAATCCATCTTTATAAATCAACATGCAGAATCCGTTGAATTGAAGGGTTGCTCCCCGCAGAGAATCTATGAGACTTCCTAAATACTTGAAATTTTGGCGATTCTAACCTGTATGAGACCTGGTCCAGACCACCTCATCCTGGAAAAGACCTGGTCCCAAGGTGTGGGCTGGTTCAGACAGGCGTGACCAAAAACAAAAGCCATGGGGGTTTGTGGTTGTAGAGTGGGACCCCTTCATTCACACGTGGCGGTTGACGTGTGTTGACTCCCTAATCCACTCTTAGCTTGATGAATGAAAAATGAGTTTCCATGGATAAACTAAAAGGAAAGATATCATATTGCAGCAAAATATAAATTCATAGTGTCACTGTGGATTCATGCATAGTCTAAACTGGGGTAGTTTTTTTAAATTCTTCTCCTCTTGGTTAGCGTTTGTTTATGGCGACGTCCCTATCCATGAATCATCACAATACACGTGTTGGTGCACAAGATAAAGCTTCTCTCAAACGACAATTTTCATTGAAGTCATCCTCCTACGTCTGCAATTTTCTCAGTTTCACATCTTCTTAGATCGTAATAACATAAAACCCTCAAGCTCGACTAATTTTGGACCCAAAAAAAAATGTATGCACCACCAGGTTATGAAGCTATGCCAGTATACCATCACCATCAAATTAGAAGGCGCCATGAAGAAAAGGGTTGTCTTTATGCTTGGCTAGTATAAGTTTGATTCACAACTTTTCTTCTTCTTTTCAATTTTTTTTCATTCTTTGGGAATATGCAGTTTGTTCGCACTGTGTTTCTGTTTCTGTTGCTACGAGACTTGCGAGTAGACATGCACAAAGTCGGATAAAAAATCGATCCGGTTATTTCACCTAGTCAAAAAATTAGATTTTAAAAAAATCAGATTTAAAAAAAACCGGTTCAAATCCTAACCGGTTTGGAAGGCTGGATGGTGTAACTGGTTTTGGTTTGAAAAAAACCCGATGGTGGTGAGCAGCACTACTCTTGTACAATCTGTCTCTACTCCTCCTCCTCTTGAAGGCTTTGAGAGTAATGCTAAGCAGCACTACTCTTGTCCTATTTTCTTTATTCTTCCTTTTTAAACACTCTCATCAAAGCACATTTATCACCATTTCTTGCAAACTTTCATTATCTTCCACTTAATCGCATTAAATCCTCATTTAAGTTCCATTTCACGCACACCTATCACAAACCAAAAGTTAATCAAAACACAACTATTCTAGATAAATTAGGTGTATTTATAAACATTTTATGTATATGAAGAACATATACACAAGACACTCATCAACGATAAATTAAAATACTTGAATATTACAATGTTAAAATTACATTGTCATCAATTGCAACAAAGTTTACGATAATTGAAATACTTAAAAACTTACAAGTTCGATAATTAAAACAAAGTTTACGATAATTGAAACAAAGTTTAAAAATAAACTACATCGTCATCTCTTCTTCATCATCTTTGCCTTCTTCGTTTGGAGGGTATATTCCAAGTTCAACTTCTTCAATGTGTAAGTTTATTTCCAAATCGACATCAATTGCATCTTCTAGGGTGGTGATATGTTACTTCCGAGCCGCTCCATCCAAATAATCATTCAAACAAATGCATACTTCCACCGACTCGGGACTTAGTCTTGATCTCCGTTGCGATATAACCCTGCCACTAACAGAAAAAGCGGATTTCGAAGCTACCGTAGAAGCTTGGACGGTTAGTAAATCACGGGCCATGTCGGCTAAAATCGGAAATTGTGCTTCCTTTTCTTTCCACCAAGCCAAAGTATCCAAACTTTCAAACTTTAGACAAAGTTTACAATGCGCCATCCTCGAGCCATTTGACATCTCATATGAATCGTAGTGATCCAAAATATCTTTGTTTCGAGTGTGTTCGATCACTCTCACGACTTCAAGGTTTCCCCCAACGGAAGATTCAGTCGTGTTAGGGTCGGTATTTGTAGCCATGATGAACAAAAAATTACAAAAATAAGATTTGAGAGATGTTTAGGTGTTGTGTAATAAAATTTGATAAAGTTGTAATCAACCAAATACATCCCCAATCTATTTATACATGTTTAGGGTGGTAAAATGATGATTTTTTTTAGAAAAAAATGTCACAAAACTCCCCCAACGGCTAGTTTTTAAAACCCCATACCGGATTTTCCCCCGGATAAAACCCGGTTTTTTATCCGATTTTTTTCAAACCGGTTTTTAATCTAGTAAAAAACTGATCGTCCAATTTTTTTCCCAAACCGGTTATACTATCCGGTTTTTAAATATTCCATCCGCTTTAAAAAAATTGGTTTTTCCCAAATCCAATTTCGGATAATTTTTACGCAAAATCGAATATTCAGATTTTTTGTACACCTCTACGAGTGCTGCTTGGAGTTTTGTTGCTGTTTTTGATGCCTTGATATATTATTATTATTATTATTATTATTATTATTATTATTATTATTATTATTATTATTATTATTATATGTAGGTGTTTGTGTGTATTAAACCAATGTTTGCCATGAATGGACGTAGAATCCAGCACAAGCTATATTTATATGACTTGAGACTTGGAATTTTATTGCTGTTTTTGATGCCTTAATATTATATAGTATATATATATATATATATATATTATTGAATTATTAGATACGTGTGTGTGTTTTAAATAAATGTTTTGCCATGAAAGTTTGTAGAATCCATCAATATCCACGGATGCCACTTAACTTTAGAACGACTGAGAGAGCCTTGAGGATCTCCATCCAGAGAGATAATACTCGGTTCATGTGATGATGATGATGACCTAGAATGATATAATGAGTAATAGTAAAAGCCACTGAAAGAGGATGCTTAGTGCCATGGACACAACTCAGGCTAGCCATTGATCAATAACAGCTCATGTTTCTATAGTATTCCGGTAATCCTTATTTTTTTGGTATAATCATTGGTGTCCTATCTATTAATCGACTAATTTGGATTGGGTATTGCAGAGGCGAAGGTGATCCTGCCAAACTAGTTTGTTCCATTCGCAATCGCCAGGATTCGAATCTCTGACCTTACTTAAGAGATCTAGTGTCTCATCCTAATAGATCAACTGATTGTTGGTAGGTAATCCTTATTTAAAAATCACAAATGACAATTGTTTTGAATATTCTTACAAGACCAGTCAACGGAATGCCTCCTCTGCTTTAACTGAATCAAGGATTCAGAAAATATACACATAGGCAGCTGAAGTAATCAGTGTGGTCAGCTGTACCGAGACGAGGCTCATGTCATAGTTGTCGAGATAGTTACGGACTGCAATCTTCCTCAATGTTGGTCCAGGTTTTGCAACAACCTGCAAAAGAGGTTGAAACAATTTGAAGATGCATCAAGCATTAAAATGGTTCACTTATCATGGCATGTCTTATAAGGCCTATGTTCTATGTACGTTCTTTCGGAGTTCGCAGAACCCACTGAATTGCAGGATTGCTCCCAGCAGAGATCGTATGATACTTCCTACAAGTCCGGTCAATGCATAAAAGGGTATAACCGATAGCTCCTTCAAGGCCATTCTGTCTATACAACTTGTACTGAGCATTCCGGCAAGAACGAATGTTAAACCGACGACAGTCCCTGATGCCAAAGCCGATGTAAGACCTGTTTTCGTCACTGCTCCATTTGTGCCCCTTAGAACACGCTGCAACAAAAGAAGAAAAGTGATCAAAAAAAGGAAATCCAACTTCATCAATTATCTGTTCTGTATAGCCAACTATAACTACCTTAAAATTCGTGATCAACCGCGGCAGGTCTCTGCTAAGAATCCTGATCTCCGATGACCAGGAGTTAGCATTGCAGCAGGAGTTAGAACTGCTACAAAACAACTATTGAGCAAAACTTGTATCCTGAAATGAAGAAATTGGGGAATTAGAATTACACTGTCAAAAGCAAGAATCCCCAATCCGATATAATATTTGCTACTCAGTTTCATCATCATACTGAAGTTCAAATCATTGCTCCTGAAACTATCTCATTCAATTTCTTGCAAATTCTTTGAGCATCAGTGTTTCTGAATTTACAAACCATACTTCCATCAACAACATTGATTTAAAGATTTAAAGAGAGTTATGAATATACCAGTTTCTTTGTCCGCCTTCCTTAGAATCAACGCCGATTCGTCGTTTCTTTACTTTTCCATCTTCGGTGAGCTTCGACGAAGTAAGGAAGAAGACCAGAAACATTGCACCAAACCTGAAATTCCCATTTCTTGATGACTTTCTTCGAAACCAAACAAGAATGAATATAAAGAAAAGAAAAAAAAAGGAAGGACCTGTATCAAATGAATAGTCATGACGAGAAATACGGCGATAGCTCCGGACAAATGAAGAGACTTTCTTCTGTAGGATCTAATTAAGATTACGGAAGAGATCAAAACAGGGATCAATGGCTGGATTAGAGTTCTGTCCATTTTCTTTCTTGCTGGGAAAGTTTCTCGTCTTAGTCCAATCTTCACTTAGAACGACAGTTTTTATAGCTGGTATCAAGTTGGGAAAAGGTTAAAAGATAATGGATAGTTATAACGGCATTTGAAAAAGTTGGTTAGGGGACCAACGGCCACTTATTTCCGCGGCTTGAATAAGCGCGCATCCACTTCCTTCACTTAGGATGGACATGTATCCGGATCCAACGGTTCCGACCCAACATCAATTTTTTACAATTAAATTTGAATTCGAATTAGATTGGGGTTCTTTTTGAAGGAAAGATTATGCTATGTTCGAGTTTAAGATTGATTTTTTTAATCTAAGATAATAGTATAATTATCAATTATATATTTAAAAATAATTACAATAATGCTCGTCTAACATTTGTCTAGTGCTCTTATCATCAATTTTATGGAGCTTGGAAGCCATTTCCGAAGCGTTCATCTTCAACCCACGATCAGGTGACAAAACCAAGGCAGCTTGTAGAACATTTGATCATGTTCCCTGTTAGCTAGTAACCATGGTTGCGTACATAACATTCATGATTCATGTTGTTTCACTTTGCAGTTAATGCCTGTGACATCGTAAACTGCGGAAAAGGGAGTTGCCGAGAGACGGATAGTTCACTGTTCGGCTTCGATTGCGATTGTAATTCTGGGTGGACGAAATTTCAGATCGGTTCCCTCACCTTACCACCCTGCATCGTTCCCAACTGCGAGTCCCTGCCTCTTTTTCGGCATTGATTTTTTTTTTTGCGTCTCGGGTCACATTTATTTATCTTTTCTTTCAGGCACGCTTAGCTCCGATTGCGGACCGGGGAGTCCTTCGCCGCCAACACTGCCACGACCGGAGTTTAATTTGACCGACCGTATGCACTTAGGACAGCTTGTTTAACTTAGCTACTACTAGTATTTATTGTGATTTTTTGTCGTTATTTTATGCAGCTTGTAGCTATACTTGGTGCGGTGACGGAAGCTGTAAGACGAATGGGAATAGCTACGAATGCGATTGCAATGCGGACTCCGATAATTTTCTCAATGCCACAGCCTTACCATGCTTCAAAGAATGTAATGTTCATAATATATATAAGAAGACGGATACTTGAACCCTAAACTCCGACTAGTATTGTTTATGGTTATGTTTGACTTGGTTAAATATAACTTGCTTCATTTATTGACTGTCATGGTGCTCTGCTTTGCTTCAGGTTCTCTAGGAGCGGATTGCCACCATCTCGGCACGCCGCCGCCGTCCGACCAGTCATCATCTCCTATCAAAGATAGTTGGACATTGTTAATTTTAGGTGCTTTGTTTCTCCCATTGATACAATTGTGAAGACAAAAATAATTATCATTGTAATCTTAAACTTCATTTTGATCATTTGTATAAGAGCTTATTGGATATCTATAATTATTTACTCGATACCCAGCGACTAAATATATGCAACCAACGAGTATAAATAATTAAGTACAAATTTAAAAATAAAACGAATAATAGATTTAAATGTCCAAATTCGTTATCTATAAAAACAAAAGAAATATAATTAGAGATATTTAAAAGTTAACATCATCACATTTTTCTTCAAATCATGTAAATAATAATTTAAATAATTCAAATATATTCCTTACTTGCAATATTTGAATCTACAAAAAGTAGATTAGATATTCATAAAAATATAAATTTGTGGTCTATTACGATACAATTTAGTTGAAATAAAACAATAGTTTAATTACAATTCAAATAAAAAATAAAATCATTCACAAATTTTAATTAACTTCATTTATCTAATGATAATTCGATTGTTACGTTTGATGTTGAATTTTAATATTCAAAATCCACTGGCTCAATAATTTGGTTCACATAATGGGGAAAATGACATGAAAATAATTGAAGTGGTAGCGGGCATTAAAGGCTCTTACCAAATAAAAAGGGCACATAAATTGAGTTGCCAATAGGTCCACTGCCGATAATGACGATTCGCAAACGTACTTGAAGGTTTTACTTTCATGTTTATTTATCTGTCCTGCTGTATATATTATGGTAAATTACACTTTTAGTGCTTAAAGTATCAATTTTGTTATATTTTAATATCTAAACTTTATTTTTTTTTTTAAAAATCATATATAATGTTTACTTTTTATTTTATTTTGATATTCCGTTAAAAACTTAACCGCACTAAACGTAATTATTTTTCCTTTTCTAAATTCCACGCGTGTTTCCACTTGAAAACCCCCTCAAAGATGGAATTCCAACAACCATCAGAGAAAACGATTCACCGACGATGACAACAACCAGAGATTGCAAAGAAACACCAGGCAGCACCCCCATCGCAGCGACGGTTCACCGGTAATGAAACCATGCGAGAAGATGACGGTTTAACACGGATGGAGGCTGACATTCCACACGTGTTTTAATGATCAACATCACCATTACACGTGAAAATATTGCATATTGGCTTCATTTGTTGAATGGATTTTCTGTTTCAAGGCTTTTCTGCCATTGTTTCTTGATTTCTTGGGGACATCAACGAGCGTTGTTGCATCGACCATTGCGGGAAGGATAATGATATTACTTTTAGATAGAATGGTTTCTTTGAGATATGATAGGTAGGCAAGCGACGGCTTTCTTAAACATCGCATTCCTGACTGAGCGTCGTTGGCGAAAGAGGCAATGGTATCGATCGAAGATTGAAATTACGGATACGGCCACATTTTTTGTTGCGTTGCGTTTGTCGCGATTAGAATAAATATTTACTCATTAAATAAACTTAATTATCTAATAATCTTCAACCGTTATAATTACAAAAAAGCCAATTTAATTAATAATTAGAATTTAAGTTAATTCTTAACACAAATCCATATTCTCAATGTTTTCTCGATTATGAAGCCGTCATCTTATGTCTCGTATCGAGACAACAATAACGAACGAGAAAAATCTTCATTAAATAAAAGATAACCAACAAAAACGACAACACGTGATGAAAATCATTTAAACCAAACTTCAATCTTAGATCCTCAATATAAAAATCATCGCGATCAAATTAAGACTCGATCGTTAAAAATATATAAATAATTAAAACAAGTAAATTAGTTTTCTATTTTTCAATGTTATCTTAGGTTTTTCACGTTGATTGATTATTCAATTGCATCGGTTTGGATCTACCAAAATCAACAAATAGTCTAAGTAACAGAAGAAATAAGAGGAAAAGTCATAACCTGTTTAACCTAACAAAGTACAATTACACTTAATTAATCAAATCATCTTCTATTTTTTTCCTCTTAATCATAGTACGAGGATAGAAGAATATACTATACTTCACGGGTCCATAATTGTTTGCATGAAATTATCAAACATTATATTATTCTAATTGGGTAATGAAATCGTAATTAGTAATCAATTTGCCTAAATTATTTTATAAATTATGACATAATAATACAAATTTCCCAACTCCATTATTGGCCCTAAGCACTACATCAACAACTAGTTCGCCGTAATAATAATATATTAATAATATTGGGTGATTATAAGGTAATATATCCTACAAGACACAATTGATCGAACTCGAGATCTCTATGAATAACATCATTTTCTTTTATCACTGATATCATTTAAAAATTAAAATATATGAGTATCCGATAATAAACACCTCTAGCTGTTATTGTTAACATTTTTACGTTTTAATAAAAAGACATATTTATTTAAAATGTATTAAAATAGACCGCCTTAATATAATTTATACATAAAACAAGATGTTACATGCTAATGCAATTTTCTATAATTAATATGCATTTGATGTTTTTATGTAAAATAGTGAACCCTATATGACAAACACTAAATAAAATAATAAATATTCACGTGATAATAAATTTTTATGATGCTAAAACATATCCATTATGTATATTTAGACGAATTATTTTAAGCTTACTGTTATTTTTAAATATTTGTTACATATTATAATGCAAACTTAACCAATTATATGCACACAAATATACTCATTTCAAAGATATAAATTTTAAAATCAATAATTAAGTATAATAATTTAATTAAATGGTTATAAATTAATTTTAAATATAATTATAAAAATAAAAAAATAATTAATTGACTCAAAATATTAAAGTCTTTTACTCTATAGTACGAGCCAATATACAAAAGTACAAATCGATATTTAATTAAAATCCATTGAAACAATTGAAATGCACAAAAATTGACCTAAACGAATTTTAAATTATTTGATATTGGTTGAAGAATACTAATATGATAATTAACAATCTCTGGAGTGTGCGGTTAAAAGTGATCGGTTGACACCTTCTTTTTTTTGGTGGGTACTAGGTTCAACACTTGTCAAGTTTAAATATTGTCGTGGGCAAAATTATGTAGGGATCAAATTGAAAAAAATATTAAATTCAGGGATTGAAATTTAATATATCCCAAGAAAAAGTGAGAATTAGTTATATTGGTATCGGCGTGTTCCATCGTTTTGCCGGTGAGAGGAAGAGCGGTAAAATTAACCGTGCGACTAAATAATTATTGGATATCTATAATTATTTACTCGATACCCAGCGACTAAATATATGCAACCAACGAGTATAAATAATTAAGTACAAATTTAAAAATAAAACGAATAATAGATTTAAATGTCCAAATTCGTTATCTATAAAAACAAAAGAAATATAATTAGAGATATTTAAAAGTTAACATCATCACATTTTTCTTCAAATCATGTAAATAATAATTTAAATAATTCAAAATATATTCCTTACTTGCAATATTTGAATCTACAAAAAGTAGATTAGATATTCATAAAAATATAAATTTGTGGTCTATTACGATACAATTTAGTTGAAATAAAACAATAGTTTAATTACAATTCAAATAAAAAATAAAATCATTCACAAATTTTAATTAACTTCATTTATCTAATGATAATTCGATTGTTACGTTTGATGTTGAATTTTAATATTCAAAATCCACTGGCTCAATAATTTGGTTCACATAATGGGGAAAATGACATGAAAATAATTGAAGTGGTAGCGGGCATTAAAGGCTCTTACCAAATAAAAAGGGCACATAAATTGAGTTGCCAATAGGTCCACTGCCGATAATGACGATTCGCAAACGTACTTGAAGGTTTTACTTTCATGTTTATTTATCTGTCCTGCTGTTATATATATATATATATATATATATATATTATGGTAAATTACACTTTTAGTGCTTAAAGTATCACTTTTATTCTATTTTAATATCTAAACTTTAATATTTTTTTAAAAAAATCATATATAATGTTTACTTTTTATTTTATTTTGATATTCCGTTAAAAACTTAACCGCACTAAACGTAATTATTTTTCCTTTTCTAAATTCCACGCGTGTTTCCACTTGAAAACCCCCTCAAAGATGGAATTCCAACAACCATCAGAGAAAACGATTCACCGACGATGACAACAACCAGAGATTGCAAAGAAACACCAGGCAGCACCCCCATCGCAGCGACGGTTCACCGGTAATGAAAACCATGCGAGAAGATGACGGTTTAACACGGATGGAGGCTGACATTCCACACGTGTTTTAATGATCAACATCACCATTACACGTGAAAATATTGCATATTGGCTTCATTTGTTGAATGGATTTTCTGTTTCAAGGCTTTTCTGCCATTGTTTCTTGATTTCTTGGGGACATCAACGAGCGTTGTTGCATCGACCATTGCGGGAAGGATAATGATATTACTTTTAGATAGAATGGTTTCTTTGAGATATGATAGGTAGGCAAGCGACGGCTTTCTTAAACATCGCATTCCCTGACTGAGCGTCGTTGGCGAAAGAGGCAATGGTATCGATCGAAGATTGAAATTACGGATACGGCCACATTTTTTGTTGCGTTGCGTTTGTCGCGATTAGAATAAATATTTACTCATTAAATAAACTTAATTATCTAATAATCTTCAACCGTTATAATTACAAAAAAAGCCAATTTAATTAATAATTAGAATTTAAGTTAATTCTTAACACAAATCCATATTCTCAATGTTTTCTCGATTATGAAGCCGTCATCTTATGTCTCGTATCGAGACAACAATAACGAACGAGAAAAATCTTCATTAAATAAAAGATAACCAACAAAAACGAGAACACATGATGAAAATCATTTAAACCAAACTTCAATCTTAGATCCTCAATAGAAAAATCATCGCGATCAAATTAAGACTCGATCGTTAAAAATATATAAATAATTAAAACAAGTAAATTAGTTTTCTATTTTTCAATGTTATCTTAGTTTTTCACGTTGATTGATTATTCAATTGCATCGGTTTGGGTCTACCAAAATCAACAAATA